CCAAAGTCTCCACAAACTGCCACCATGATGAAAGCTATGTCCCCACTTCGGAGGGCATTATGGAGGCCCCACATGGGGCTTCTCAGGCCCAGGCCAGATGACCAGGCTCCCACTCCTGTACCCCTCTTTCTTTTCTCATGTTGGCCCTCAAGACTCCGCCTGATCTCCTTTTGTCTTCTAAGATCCTTCTTCTAACCAGCTACTCTGTATCTTAAGGATCCTTCTGCCCCAAGACTAAATGTAGGCTGAGTATGTTCTCCCTAACCTCTCATTTTCTCGCTGCCCTGCTGATAAGCTTAGAAGCCCTTATTCTTTTATGAGTTTTTTAAAAATATTTTTAAATTTTATTTTAGAGAGGAGGAAGGGGGGGGGGAGAGAAACATTGATGACGGAGAGAAAAACATCGTTGTGAGAGAGAAACATTGATCAGTTGCCTCCTGCACGTGCCTCGACTGGGGATTGGGGGTCAAACCCACAACCCACGTAAGTGCCCTCGGTGTCCTGGGAGACACTCTAACCAACTAAGCCACACAGGCCAGGGCTCTTTTATGAAATTTAATAGTAAAAATGAAAATAACAAACATGGCAAAGTTCCCCAAGACTAANAGTAAAAATGAAAATAACAAACATGGCAAAGTTCCCCAAGGCTAAAAAATTTTATCAAGTTCTTATAGTCATTATGCCAGGTCTATAGTCCCACACCTTGCTTATTTAGGACACAGAAGCCTGAAGGCCTTTTACTTCTCTGGAGCCCCCATTGGGTGACATTTATTTCAAAATCCCTGCCTCAAGTGTGAACAAGTCACTTTGCCCTTTCCCCTTAGGTGCTTCTCTTACTTTTACCTTTCTAAAAACTACTTAGAGAAAATATGTTTCTCCCCATAGTTGGCCAATAATTTATGGCCAGATTACTGAAAAATTTCTCTAGTGGGCAGATCATTCAGTATCTGTCATACTCAAAGAGTCCTCCTAAAATAAAGAAACTGTCCCACAACTGCCATAGCTGATTGAATCAATGGGCCCTTGACCCAAAGACCATCAGTCTGTTAACAAGCCAGCAACTCATGAAGTTATCTCGCATGAAAAGCTCTTTTCAAAGAGCAATAGTAGTGATTGGTTGAGTCAACAGACTTCTGTCTTTCTGGATGGGAGAGAAGCAATCAATGCATAACAGGAAAAGACTAAAAGGAGGTCTGAAAAGAGAGGCAGAAAATGAGGGTGAGGCTGAATCACATCAAAGGTGTGAAAATTAAGAAACCTTTACTACTGGATGGGAGGAGAGCTCCAAGATAATCTGACTCCCATTGATTTCAGTCCCACCAAAGTGGTATCAGTTTCTGTGGATGTTCTAAAATGACAAGATAAAATGCCAACTCTAACACACTTATCTCCATCTATAATTCTGAGTTAATTAAACTACAGCACAGTCCAGTTCATTGGACTATTCATGTGTCATATGAACATGATAAAACAAAACTTTAAATCATGGTTTCTTGTCATCTTAATCCAGGAAAAAACAAAGATCTAGGAATGGCTTAGGAAAATGTTCCCACAGTTTAGTGTCAACTCAATTTAATCCAAGGAAAAAACTGTCCAAAGTAAGGTTAAAATTAATTCACAAATGATGGAAATAAACTTCTATTTAACATCTATTACATACCATGTAATTTGCAAATATCACCTCATTTAATCTTCATAATAACTCTCCCTGAGAAAGCAGGTATTATTATTGTCGTAATTTTACAAATGAGAAAAAGAGGCTCAAAAAATCTAAGTCTCTGTCTTCCTCTCCCACCCCTCTCGTCAAACCTAAACTCTCCACAGAAGCTCACCACTTGGGAGAAAATGAAAAGAAGAAGAGGAAGGAGACAAAGAAGAGAAAATAGCTTTATACCAAAATAATTTCCAGATACATAAAAGATTAAATATCAAAGCTGTAGGTGTAACAAAACTAAATAAAATTATAAGTGATTAAGTATGTAATCAAGCAATGGAAAAGATCTTTTTAAAAACGCACACCAAGGCACAAATCATCAAGGAAACAATCAATAGATTAAACTCAATACTAGTTTAGTTGTAAACTTTTCTACATAAAAAAATCTGTAACTAAAGCTATGAGTTAAATGACCAATGGAAAATATTTGCACCATTATTGTGAAAGATCACAGGGTTTCCTATCTAGAGAGTTCTCATAGCCTCTCGAAAAATCACCCAAAACTGAAAGAAGAACAAGAAACAGAAGCATAAACTCCATCCTCAGTGAAACCAGGAGACACCAGTAACCCCAAACCACAGGCCATGAAGACTGGTAAGTGACTTTGCTGAGAGGAGAAAGGTCACATCACAACACCAAGTGCCTACTGAGGAACAAGTTCGCCCCTCAGAACCCAAAAAAGCAGGAATCTTAAAATCCCAAGGAACCAGGAAGGCCAGGGTAGGTGGGGGCTGATAACAGGGTTTTGGGTTAAGAGGTTATGCCTCCGGGTCCTCCTCCTCACCTCTTGCAATCTAACATCTCCCACTCTCACTCCCACTGGAGAGAAGACTTAGCCTCTGGAGAAACCACATCAGAGAGGCTCTAGACTCTGGAACACCAGAAACTAAGGAAGATGCATGAGAATATCTTACTTAAAATAAGGGGGTTAAGTAAAGATCTGCACACACCCACACTTACGCACTCAGTCTAGGATACATGCAGCTATCTTATAACCCCTAGGCAAGAGGCTGAAGATCCTTATCTGGAGAAACTGAACAATCCTAGGAACAGTCCAACAGATATTGACACTTAAGGATCTCCAATTTAAAAAACTGGCAGGTCACCTCACAACCCTGGTAAAACTCACTCATCTACTAGCCTCTCCCCCTGGTCCATGTGCAGCAAGCTTCAAACCAGCATATTAAGGCCTCAGTCTTAAGGATGACTGAACAGCCAAGGATCAAATCATCAAAAGGGTATTCAAGCCCGGCTGGGCATAGCTCAGCGGTTGAGCGTCAGCCTAGGATCCAGGAGATGGCGGTTCAATTCCCTGTCAGGGCACATGCCTGGGTTTTGGGCTTGATCCCCAGCAGGGGGCATGCAGGAGGCTGCTGATCAATGACTCTCTCATCATTGATGTTTCTATCTCTCTCTCCCTCCCCCTTCCTCTCTCTGAAATCAATAAAGACATATTTTTAAAAAAACAAAACAAAAAACAAAACCTACATTTGAAAAAAAAATCTGTTTCCTTAGCCTATCATACAGGACCTCCTTTCAACCAGTGGGAAAACAGGAGACCTGGCTAGCCCCAACTTTGTCACTCAAGGCACAGAGTAAGTGTTGAATAAAATGTGTATTCATTGAGCATCTACTTTGGTGTCAGACACTATACGTGAAGCAATAAATGCTATTACTATTATTACTGTCCATCTTTAGATGTCAACAATCCTCTCTGGGCCCCAGGAAAGGAGATTAGCATGAAGATTACAACGGCCGCTGTGGCTGGATTGAATAATTGTGAATGTGGTGATTCTGCTCAAAGTTATTGACCATTTGGGGAGAGGCGGTGCAGAGGGGGAATGCTGCCTTTCAATGGAAGGTTCAGATAAAGCATAAAAGCTGTACTAGATAGGGGCCTCTCCATGACATGGGAGGAATTTCCCTGAAGTTAGATTGTTGGAGTGGTGGGTAGAGGCGATGAAATGGAGGTGCTGAGCATGAAGCTGCTGAGCCCCTCCCTCCACATAATGAGGGGTGTTTCCCTAACAGTCACTAAGCCTGAGTGTGTAAGCAGGTAAGGACAGAGAGCAGGTGAGGGGCTGGGGCTGGGGCTGTGGGTGGTAACTGACTTGGAGACACCACCAGGTCAAATGTGACCAGCCTTTCTAGAAGTAATTTGCTCTGTATCTTTAAAGTTCCCTGAGGTAAATGAGACAAGAAAATTTGCTGACCCTGCAGCCACCCATTCCTCAGAATTCATCAGTGCTGTTTTATGGTTGATTTTGCTCTCTCTTTCCACTCTTTGTTCCTTGCTGGACTTCGTAAGTCCTGCACAGTTGCCAGCCTCAACAAAGATAATCCCATTGCCCGTGGTCTTGACCCTGGGCACCTTATTCCTTGCCTTCTCAGATTTTGTTTTCTGTTCCCCTCAATTACTGACCTAGTGATGATCCAAGAGGGTGCCACCCAGACCATGGCCAAGATCTGACCTGGCCTGTCCCTGGATTTATCGTAAATAACATCATCTTCAGTAAGACAATCTCTGTTGTAATCCAATGGAACTAAATTCAAAGTGTAACCTTAGACCAGGCAAAGTTGGTAACTTGGGATAGGACCCCTGTGATAACTGTGGATACAATTGACATAATCTGTAGGTCCAATTATTCTATGAATTAAATATAATTATTATAATTGGATTGAAACCAACAGTCGAATGCCAACAATGAAACTTAGTTCTGAGGGTTCTCTCGCTCATCTTCTGTAATACCCCTCATGAGAAGTGCTCTTCTTTCACACCCACCACTAAGTGCTGACCAGTCAAGGTTCTGCTTTCCCCAGAATCTAGACACTCCTCCTCAAGAGACTTCATGGTATGGTGGCAGGCATGTGGCCTCTGGGCTCAAAAGGCCCAGGGCTCAAATCATAGCCTTGTCACTTATCCTCTGTGTGCTTTACTTTCCCCACCCATAAAGCTGTGCTAAAGATTAGAAGTTAAGTATAAAACCGTGGCTCCAATTAGGCTTCTATAAATTATAGTCATTGATCCTAGAGCCAGGAACCAAGTGTAGGTACTAGGCACCAAGTTCCCCTGGTTTCATCTCATTAAAGAGTCACTGCCTCATCTCACCATCTCTCAGGAAATTTCCAAAGAAGCATTCTTCTGACTTTCAAGTAAGCACAGGCCCAGCTAATTATGTGTGTGTGTGTCCTAGGTACAGGCCTGGGAGCCGGTCCAGGCAGGTCTCTGGGAAACCATGTTTTCCCCTGCTGCGGAGGCGAGCGCTGAGCCTGCTTATCCACACACCTGGAAGAGGTTAGCAGCCTCCAGGACCCGCTGGACATTCTGCTTGGTGATCAGGGCCTTGCTGGTGTAGGTGTAGTCCAGGAGCGTGTGCATGGTCTCGGCGTCGACCCCTTTGATAATGATCCTCTTCTCATACTTTTCCTTTAAGTCGTTGCAGAACATCGCCCTGGAAGAGAGACGTGAAGAGGTGAGTCCTATGGTGACCACTGGTTCTAGGACTTAAAGGCGTCCTTCATTTGACCGTTCTGTCCCATGGAACAGTCAGGTGAAGCCATGAGTATGGGATCCTAATTTAATAGGATTGGTGTCATTATCAGAAGGAGACAGAGAGACCAAAGCCTCTCTCTCTGCCATGTGAGCACACAGTGGCCATCCATAAGCCAGGGAGAGTCCTCACAGAAACTGACTGTGCGAGCAACATGATCTTAGACTTCTGGCCTCTAAAATTATGGGAACAGGTTCCATTCTCTTCCAGCCACGTCGCTGAAATGGGAAGGTCCCAAAGCAGAGCCCTGCTGATGGAATGTGCTTCCTAAAACTGGGACTCCCATCCCAACGAAGGGGATTATGCCCCTAAGCCCTGCGCCTTCTCCCTTCCCCACACCTATTTACCTCTGGAAATCATTCATCAGTTCAAATTACTTCACTAGCTGACTTTTGAACCTTTTGTTTTAGCCAATGAGATCTTCTCCCTCAGGTTCCCTCTGTCCTTATCAACAGGAATCCTCCTACCCTTCCCTCCTCCCTCCTCTTCTTTCTTTCCTTCTCTCTTCCTTTCACAGAATATGACAATATGAAAAAAAGGAACAACTGTGAATTCTGCAACATTAACAAATCCTAGCCTGGAGCCAGAGGAGCAGTGATGTCATTGGGACCGATGACCGACTTACTAGCCACTCTCTTCAGCCATAATCCTCTTGGCCAGAGGAGCACAGAGCTGTCTGCAGAAGCACACACCTTGTAAAGTGATGTCACGTAGGACTCGCCTTGCTGCCTCCTGATTCCATAAAGAACCCTGCCATCAAAGCAACCACACAATTTCTTCCCAGCTCAGCCTGCTTCCTGGGAGGTGCTGGACAAGCTCACTCCGTAAGCCTCCTTTGTTTGAGTTTCTAGAGTGGCACGGCCCAATACAAACATAGTGAGAGCCATGTGTGGCATTTTAAATTTTCTAGTAATTTAATTTTTTCAAAGTAAAAAGAGATAACATTATTTAACCCAATGCACATCAAATATCATCATTTCAACATGCAACAAATATTTTTAAATTATTAATGAGATAATTTATTCTTTTTTTCATACTGTCTTCAATATCCTTCATGTATATTTTATACTTAAAATACATCTCAATTCAGACCGGCCATAATACAAATGCTTAGTATAGTCCTTCTAAGGGTTAGTGGCTACTGTATTAGACAGTGCAGCTCTAGAGCACCAGTCCTGAGCTCTGGTGTTGGGTCACCCAGATCTGCAATCATCTCAGATGGTAAAGTGAACATCGCCCACATCAATGCCACGTACATGAGTATATGAACAACAGGACATTTAGCACGGAAGGGCAGTGATGACGAGGTCAGATGAAGCTTCTTGTAACCGGGGCAACATATCACCAGAGTGCCACCAAGGTGAAATTTAGAAATGCTACTACACCTAGAATGTGATTTTAAGATTAGTGGAAGGTGAATTTTGTTGAATCTATATAATCTCAAAAATTCCAATGAAAACTGAAAAAAGTCTAATGAAGAGTTGTTTTAATGTTAAATGTGGTAGGTATGTAAATTGTCTAATTCAGTGCCTTGCACTTTGAAGGGTTCTTAAACGAAGCCTATGTATCTCCTATGTGGCACAATCACTGGGATCATCTGGACTCTTGATCGGGCTGTCACCCAGACACAGCTTCTGAATTCTGTCTTGGAATCAGTCACTGAAGAACATCCTGCCCCAGCTCAGCCCATGCCTAACTGGGTGTCTGCATCCCCCAGGAGCCAACCTTTGTGAACTAGTGATGCTTTAGGGGCATGGGGGGGGAGGCGTAGGCCCGGAGGAGAGGAAGAGAAAAAGCAAGGTGAACATTGTATAGAAAGTCATTTTAGCCCAATCCTGCTGGGAACCGCTGAAGAATACTCTCCAGAGCTGTTTCGACAAGAGCCAAAGAAGCTGGGCTGTGCTATTCCACCAGCCGGCAGCCTTCGTTGTGGGCCACCCCAGGAAGAGGTGAACTCTCAGCACTTCTGGCTTTCAGTGCATGAGTGTGCGTGTGCACAAGCAAGGGGGCTCCGGGAGCCTCTGAGGGTGGAGAGAAGACTGCAGCACTGGCTGTTAGCAGGGAGAGAGGGGCGCTGTGGTCTGCTCTCGGCTCTGATCCTAGCTCATTGCATGACTTTGTACAAGTGAGCAAACCTCAGTTTCCTCCTCTGTGACATGGTTCATAGTCCCTACCCCAGAGAGCTGTTGGGAAGAATAAATAAGACAACACACCCATCACTCACTAATGGAAGGCATTTCGGACCAGATGAGAGGATTCCTGGCAGGCTGATGGGAAGGTCTTGGGGTAGGCGGGCCAATCGCATTCTGGCTTGCAACGCTTGACGCCCAAGTCTAGGCCAGTACATGCGTGTCAGTCGCACTGCCGTCCACCACCCATCCAGAGTAGTGTTAGCTTCAGGCTGCACACAAATGGATCTAGAGACCTTAGCGCGGTGCCTGGCACATAGGAGCTCAATAGAAGAGAGAGGAAGGAAGTGCCCTAAAGAGCTCTCTGGAGCTCTCTTGCCTGCTTTGCTCCCAAAGAGCATTTCTCTGCTCTCCTCTGAGGCATTTTCACTGATTTTATGCCACTTAAATACACTCTCCTAGGCCACAGCCTCCATGCCGAACATAGGTAAGGGGAAACTAAGGGGAAATCTATGTATTTCTCATAGACCAAACTCTGGGGCCTCTGCTGCTCTCCCAGGAGATCCACGGAAACACTTTGGCAAAGTTGGGACCCCATGAGATGTACATGACCTGGGCAAGGTGGGCCACCCTTAGGTTTCACTTTAATAACAATAATATTTTACATTTATGTCTATAGCCCTTCATAGGGAAAACAACATCATCTTCTTTGAATATTACACCCATTTTATAGATTATAGCCTGAGGTAGAAGTTAAGAGAATTGTTAAAGAAATTACAGGTTGTCAGCAATAAAATGGGGACGGGAACCTAGGACTTTGGGCTCTTAGTCTGGAGCTCAACAGGACATGAAACCAAGAAAATCAGCAGGAGTTCAAGGCCATCTTTAAGGGGTCAACTGAGTGCTAGCACTGAGTGAACCAGACCAAACTTTGCTCTCTGAGAACACAGCTAGATTAGTTGCTAACCATTTTCCCCTTAGCTTATACATACGATAAGTAAAAATTTTGTGCAATAAAAAATACTTTCTAAATGACGAATCTCAGAGGGGAGGCGGGGATGCGTGGGTGGGTGGAGAGAAACTAACCAAGAACTTATATGCAAATATGCATAACCCATGGACACAGGCAATAGTGTGGTGAAGGCCTGGGGTGGGGGGTAGATGTAGGGTAAAAGGGGTTG